GGTGAAGCGCCTTGAGGGGAAGCCCTACGAGGAGTGCCTGAGGTCACTCGGGCTGTTCAGCCAGGAAAAGCAGAGGGGAGAYCTCATTGCAACTTGCTCATGAGTGGAAGGTGAGGGGCAGACACTGATCTCCCTGCTCACTAGGAGCCAAGGGAATGGCCTGAAGCTGAATCAGAGGAGGTTTAAACTGCWTKTTAGRAAAAGGTTCTTCACCCAGGGTRTGATGGGRCACTGGAACAGRCTCTCCAGGGAAATGGTSACAAGCACCAAGCCCGACAGAACTCAAGAGCTCTCTGCTCTGGGGCACAGGCTGTGATTCTWGGTGTGTCCTGTTCAGGGCTAAGMGTTGGACTCTATGAWCCCTGTGGGTCCTCTCSAACACAGAATACRCCGTGATTATGAGAGGGGGAAGCCAGGAGGAGCAATGCCCCTGGGCACTGTGGGCTGTGCCWCAGCTGAGCTGCTGCAGGTCCCTGTGGGGCAGGAAAGCACAGAGTGTAGGTCAGCCTCTCCTCCTTTTCAGCCTCAACCATTTCAGAGAGTCACAGAATGGTTAGGGTTGGAAGGGACCTCAGGAGATCCTCTAGCCCAACCCTCCTCTCTGCCCCTTCCCAGCCAAGGCAGGATCACCTGGAGCAAGTTACACAAGATAGCCATTCAGGGAYTGCAGAAACTCCGGCTACCATGGGGCCATTAGTCCTGTGCAGGCCAGAGTAGCAGGTGGGGTGTAAGAGAAAATACGCTATGGAAAAAACTGTGGAACACTGGTGAAAAACCAGTCAACTAGAGATTGTTGTTCTGGCTACAGACAGGAAAGGAACTGAATCCAAAGCATGCAGGTAGTAAAAAAAAAAAGGGGGTTTATCACTTCACTCTTCATTTGCACTTGCCACTTCATTCCCATTTTAATTTGTTCCCATTCCATTTTTTTCTCACTAGTCTCAGTCATYGAGATCAGGATACTTGACTGGTTCCAGGAAAGCTGAATAAAAGCTTAGAAATGCTGTGTTACCAGTGCTTTCATMATTTTGTTTTTACAGTGCTGGATGTAATGACCAGTTTTATACACTGGAGATCCTAAAAAACAGCTGCTGATAAGGTTCAGCAATCACACTGCTAAAACAAATTAGCTGAAACATCTTTTGAATGTGTMATTTGATAATCAAAGTTTCATTTCTACAGTAATTAGTCTGTAATATATTGATATCTTTTTTCTGCTTGACACAGAACTCCTTTGTCATATTCCTTCAAATAAAGGATATGAATCAATAGAGCAATCAGTACATTAAAAAGTTTTGCTCTTTTTTTTGTATTCTTTATTATCTTTCTAAGTTATTTTAATTCTGTCCATGCCTTCTTATTCTTCTACTTATTTTTTGCTTCTCTGTTCCCTGTCATCAAAGGTTCCTTTCATCTCTCMATTTCTGTTGGGTGTGTTTCTCGGACAGTGGCCTTCTTGTGGCCATCTGTACGATTTTACTAARTTGAGCAGCTGCTCCTAAAATAAAGCTGGTCTTGGAGGAATTTATGYCATTTGGATATTTTGGTTTTTTAAATCTGTTTTAGCATTTCACATAATTGAAAATTTATACCTGAAGCAACTTATATACTCAGCACCTTTTTCTTTTCTTTGTTTTCCTACAAGGTGGTGGATTCTGCTCCTTTTTMCCCAGTGTGCCCAGTAGCAGATGCAACTGGTGCTGGCAGAGCTATCTGACAGCAAGATAAACTGACCCATGACAAAGGAAAATTTCAGGTACCTCTCAACATCCTCTTYTGCAGCTCAAAGGAGAACCTTGGTTTTTATTCATCTAAGAGAAAGTTGTTTAACCTGAATTCTTTGGTACATAATTCAGAGGAAAGTACTTATTTATTTTCTCTACTTATTTGTGTAGTGTCAAACACATATTAAGAGAGTTCTATGTCGAAATCGTCTTCAGTACTGCCTTTGGGAGTGAAGATACTGTTCATGGATTTGGAATAATTAAATTGCTTAACATATGAAAAGAGTAGGACAGCTAAGAGCCACCAGGGGGCATTAAAACAAAAAAGATGCACAAAACTTGGTTGAAAKATTAGAAACATACAAAACTTTATAAAAAAGTTATTAATTAATAAGGAGGGTGGCACACTGTGGTTGTGATGAAAAACAAGCAGAAAGTAAAGCTTTACTTCATGGTGACCTATGTCATAGAATTTGGGACAGTGGTGGAAAGATTTYCACCTTTCTTCAAACAGCACAGAACATGCAGTGATTGCTTTTATCAGGGTCASCATGCCTAATGTTTTTATCAGGGTCAGGTATCCGTTCTATCCAACCAAGCAGAAGTGTTGTGACCAAGTAAATTGCCCCTGTACTAGTCCTATGTCACTATATGTGACATCATGCAAAACCACCCACCACACGCCCCTGCCCCAAGAATCATCTGTCCTTGCATCACTTCGTTCTTGTACTGTTTTACCACAGTATCCAAATTATTACAGTTTACATGAATTACTGTAGTAGTTTGGTATGAAAACCTGAAGGATTAGATGTTTATAGATTATTAACCAGCATAAAGTAAAATTTTAAAAAGTAATAAAGGTGTTCCAGCCTCAGGTCTTACATGCTGCTTCATCAGTCCAACTATTGTTCTAAGATTAGAAAGAGATCCTGATAGCAAAATAGTATTTCTACAGCATTTCTATTTGTCAGGCAAAGTTAGTATTCCCTCATTTTCTCAGGAGTCCGTGGCACTCAGCATGGTTTCCCCTTTCCTATGCCTCTGTAGGCTGTGTTGGAGACCCATGTTGACTTCACCACCCCCTCTAAGAAAGGGACAAYTCCTTTTCACAGCAAAGCAAGAGGGTATCAGAGCTCCGATCTCCTGTGTACAGGAGAAAGATGTGAAGGTGTGCTATTCCTGCCCTGCTTGCAGGGCTCAAACATGGAATACAGCACACATTCACTGTTCTCTCTGCAGTTCTAATTACACCAGTTTGCTGAGATCACAACTGGCCTAGAAGCAGCAACACACCAGTGGCTCACATCTAAGTTTGAYGGCCTGCAGCTACAAGTTCTGAAAAATCATGAGATTTCACAAAGAGTGATGAAGAGAGCAACTCCAAAAAGGAGGTTAAAAAAGCAAGCACATTCATATCAAAGAGAGAAGCAAAGAAAAAAGACCTGAATGGTACTTGGCAGCCCATTATCAGTCAGGATTCCAGTTTTCTGGAATTCTGGATTCTTTTGTAGTTCCTTACATACAGGGGTAGACAACAGACCTCTTCTTCAGGTTTAGTTTGTTTCCTCCTCTTTTGCCAGAAGACATATTGAAGGAGTAAAGAATATTACAGGTACAGGAGAGCTCCAAGGGGCTGCACTGTACTTAGAAAAGGTGTTTTGTACCCACCTCATGCTTGGTTGATGTTCRTTAAGCAAAACCTCATCTGAAAGATAATATCTCATCTATCTTGCTCTGCATTCACCTCCATTTCAATGGTTTACCTTCCCTTGTCCATGCTCTCTACAGACACCCTTCCAAAAGCCATGCTTACCTCCTTTGGGTAGGTTCGTCAGCCTTCTCCATAATTAGTTCTTGTATAGCCATGTAATTAGCTTTTTAAAGATGTCAGTATTAAACTGCTAAACCTTCATCTCTTCTTCAGTAATGACAAAGATTCCCCAAAGAGTCATCAGCTTCATAAAACAGCACATCTTTTCCCAGGAGAAAAGGCAAGGGGCCTTCCCCTCATCCCTGGACACAGGGCAAAGACCAGGCCTCCAGCTCACCCCTGGAGAGGCCCACGTGAGCTGTGCAGGAAATGAGCTCATCCAACTGGGTGATTCCCAGMCCTGGGAGAGCATCACCTGCTGCCAGGAGAGAATCTGGAGCTTTACTTGATCKGGCAGTTAGATAGGTGTGAACTGCTGAAGCCACCTGCAGATAAAAGGTGCTCCCAGGACACCTATCCATAGGTAACCTAGGAATTCTTGTTTAAACCCTACCAATCGATTTAAATTAACTCAGACCTCACACCTTGTCTTTTTGAGACAGGTTCTTTGCACTATGAGGCTGTTATTAAAGCTACTATTTATAACAAAACAGTTATTCTTTATTTATAATCACTGTAAACCATATGCTGTTGACATGCTACATGTTTGCTTTCCTTCTCTTTCACCAGCTTTACACTAAGGCCTGGCAGGTGCTATCAAAACAAAGACCGGTTTGCAGAGGATTGGGGTGAATTACTGAAGACAGAGTCATGTGCCTGTGGTTGGACTGCTGACGTGACTGGGGCAGGGAGGAACTGGCAGGACTGGCTGCATATAATGGGAGATGATATCTGGGTCATGAGAGAACATAAGCCTTGGGCTATTTTAGGAGCATAGAAGGAATTCATTAGGTGTGTGATGTTACACCACACATCACATTACCTTCATAAGAATTAGTGGAATTTGTTCTACCTATCCTACTGTGGAACATACTGGGGAAAGAGTACTTAGAGCAGTAGAGTTGGGTCATAATAAGCTGAAGATGATTGCAACATGGATAGTTTTCAAGACCAAAGATCAGCTCACCTTCATCATGCCTACTCTTTCCAYATGGTGTCAATACAACCTGGCTTCAGGACAAGTGGTGTTGGACTCTGACCTGCTTCAACAGAGCTGCTCACCACCTCCTCCATGATCCATGGCACTATTAAATCTACAGGACCTATACATGGTGTTTGTGATACTTGTTTACTTTAGTAGGGAGAAAAGTCTTGCATGCCTCTGGAGCCTAGGGGTAGCCCAAGGACACTGTGGAATCGTCTCATTCTGCTCCTCCAAAACTTTGGCCCTAAACTCTAATTTACATGGTAGGACTCCAGAGTAATTCAAGAGCCTTCCTCCCTCAAAGCAAATGGCTGTCCTGAGCACACCAGCAAAGCTAAATACACTGGAGCTCCATTAAATAGTGCTGCTTGAAATTAGGTGTATGCCATATGGCTTTAGGGTTGTCCCACTCAGTAGGATATATGTTAGCTGAGAAGAAATAAACATTAACCTCAGAATTTTTATTAACAAGTTCAGAAAAAGAACAAAAGTCACATTCATTTCAGTAAAACAAGAATTAATCCCCTTCAAATACAAAAACTGCTAGGAATAYGAACGCCTAGAAATTTCTGAATATTTTAAAGAACTTGAAATACTGAATTCTTCATCCTCTAGGATGGTTCTGTATTAACTTAATGCTGCACATTAAAAAACCCTCACCACCAATGAATATGGCTTCTTCAGCAACCTCACTGTTCATAATACTGCACACTGTACCTCTTCCCTGCAAAAGCCCTCAGCAAATCACATCAGGCTTCAGTTGTTTGAATCTATATGCAAGACTGAATATCAGTTGAGAGAGCAGTGCACAAAAGGAGAACTAAAACCAGTCACTCATGAGCACATCAGGGGTGTGCTCAGAATCACCAGTTCCCATCCACAGGTGATACACTGTAAATGTCAGAAGTCCACAAAGCCAGAATACATCACCTGCCATATCTCTGACCCTCTGCAGAAAAAGTGGTATTTAAAACCAGCTTCCCCAGCACTGCATAATGCAAAGGTCAATCCAAAGGGTATCGATTCCACCTGTACAAACCTCATCACACAACCACATAGGTATACAACATCTTCTGAGCCATTCTGGTATTCCCACTGCTCTGGTAAATGAGTGACAAATTAAAGGCAGTATCTCTTCTCAAGTCTGTCTGATCAGTTTCTATTCCCTGTAAAAATAATGATTAAAAAAATTAGCAATATGCAAATATTATATAAAACTTGAAATAAAATTACATAATCATGGCTAATAAAGGCTTTCAGCTGCATGGAAACAGAAGTGTTTCTTGTGCTCTCCATATTTAGGGAGTTTCCACATCATGTTGTTAATTACCAAAGAGTTATAAAATTACACACTCAAAACATTAGCTGTAAGTTAAATAGCCAGCTCATAAAACATCCAAGTACTGCCTTAGTTTGTCTTTGTATCCAAACTATTTATTCTCAAATCAGAATGTGAATACTGCATATTTTACAGGTTACAAAACTGCTGCTCTGAACTCCCAGGGCTGAGAAACACTCACAGCTCTTACTTTACAAACACTGCCCACTTTCTAAAGACATGTGCAATGCTTCTACCTACCYATGACACAGCTGGGCAAAAACTTTCCTTCAGACCAGACTTGTAAATGTATGACWTATCAATTAGGATTCAATACAGATCAATTAGAGCTAAACCATGGCTCAGATGCTATTAGGCATTCCCAATCCTGTTCCAGCATGCTGTTTCTCAGCATGGATGAGTTCACAGAACTTCCAGTTATAATTTATTGCATGTAATACACAGAAGGGTCAGCTATTTATTCGGGCCAAGTTTTTTAGCAATCCTTTTTGCTGCTGCTTCAGCCCATGAGTAAATCCTTCAAAATTTATAAACCTTTGAACTTGACACATGTTTAAGTACATTACCAGGTGACAATTAGATGTGGGCTTCCAATGACAAGGAATTAAAAGAGAAACTGAAGGAGACACAACTACACAGATTTTATGTACCTATTTTAACTATGACTAAGAAATTCTTAACCTGACTTTATTCTCTGTCCGTAACTTCCAAAGTTATAGTACCTCTAAAGTGAGAGGAGGAAGTTCAAGTGCTCTTTGGTAATAGTGGATTGCCAGGTGCAGCAATCCCAACTGATGAAGACCACGGCCAAGGTTGTAGAAAGACTCCTGACATGGTCCACGCAGGTCCAAGTACCGGTGAAGGAAGGAGAATCCCTGGAAGAGAAATCAAGCACACAGCTTTTTCCTCCCCTACAGTGCATTTTGTTTTATTATCACTCTAGAAGGTGATGATTCTGTTGTAAACAGAGGACCTTCCTGCTAGGGACCATGTTGGTAATCTGTTGCAATTTGAGCTCAGCCAAAAAGCCAAAGTACCCACGATGTTCCCCCCAATCCCCACCCCAAAAAGCCAGAGGGGAGAGCAAAAGCCCAGTTAACACTAAAATTTATGGCTTTTAGATAAGATACCGTAAGTGAGAGAAAGATACACATATGCTCCAGAAAATGGTCAGACAGGCTGAATAACTTAAGCTGCAAAATAGATTTATTTCTAAGGACTACTAAAAACTACTGCAATGGGGAGGGGAACAGAGATAGGGAAAAATTTACAAGCAGAAGAAAAAAACCGGACATTTTAAGACACCTGTTATTCTTTCGGGAACCTGTCTGTCCCAGGTCACCCCTCCCCACCCCTCCATGCCTTCCCAGCGCAAGAGGGGCGGGGATGAAAGTTTTGACATAGATCAGACTACTCATCATGATTATCATCCAGCACCATAGGAGAAAATCCTTACAGCTCCAAGCTGTGGAAGTTCTTTTCCCAAGAAACAGCCAGTGTATAACTGCTGATGGCATGGGATTCTTTTCCTTTACCTCGTGGAAGAAAGGAAAATAGTCCTTTAATTCTAAGGGCAAGGCCACTCTCTCAAATCTCCTGACAGAATGCAGCTTCTTCTAAGCATCAACTCGCTTCAGACATTGGGTGGGGGGGCACCTCTTCCCCCCCAGAACACAATTTCTTCTAAGCATCTACTCGCCTCAGGTATGTGTGTGGGGCGGGGGGTGGCCCAAGCCTCTTCCCTGTTTTTGTCTTCTGATCAGTCCAGTCCTCAAAGGCCAGGTTTTTTTATCTCGGGTGCAGGGCCTCTTTTCTATACAAATCTCCCATTGATGAAATAGTCCTTTCCAGAACAGCTTGTTTTCTCCACGTTCGAGCACCACAGCAACAGCACAGCACCTGTCTTCTCCTTACTGTGATCTTGGGTCTCCATTTTATTTTCTTACATCTCCTCACCCTCCTCCTCTGTCTTCCCCTGGTGGAAGGGGATGACACTAACTACCCTAAAACTAAATGGCAGCCACACTCTATCTTGTTTTGAATTCTTCTGAAGTACAAGACCATACATCATCACAGAGGTGTAACCAACCTGTGCAATTGGCCCAGGCCTGACCAGCAGCCTGTCCATCACCCTCAGAGCCAAAATGGATTGGTTCTAAAACACAGGGGGCAGGGCTCCTTTTGCTGGAGAAGAAGGAGAAAGCTTCCAGAATTTTCTCACAGGAGCCATCTTTGTGGTTTCTTGGTCCCATCCCCCCACCACCAAAAAACTGGACCCAGCAAAACCAGGACGTAATCAGAGAAGATATCTCCCTCAATATGAGGAATTAGTTCAGACAGAAGCAGCTAATGATCATAATTYAGGTCACCAGTAGGTCACTGTGGTTGAATTACCAATTAACTACCATAGCAAAAAATTAGGTAAAATCACTGAGTATAGTAAGCAGGAAATGAGAAAAGAGAGAGCAGGGAACTGTATTGCCAGGGGGTAACATAAATAGGACATTGTTCAAGTATGTTATAAAAAGAGAACAGGGCAGCCCCTGTAAGAAACATAGGCTGGTTACAGAAAAAGTGGATAAAAACATTAAAATTAGGCCAAAGTTTGTAAGTCTGAAATGTTTTGAAGTTGGACACTGTCATAACTGGTTTTGTGTTAGAATAGCTTGGGACCTGTAGCTTTTGTCAAGATCAGTGCAAGCTACTGTCTTTCAGCAATTTCAGAAATCACAAGAGCTCAGGATACTCACCATATTGAGCTGACTCTGAGCTCAGCAGTCACATGAATTAAAAGGTATTTAAAGTTAATGAAACTATTTGGTGCAAAGTAGGGAAATTACTTTCAAGATTCTGTTTGGAAATACTCAGTCCGTGGTTTGTAACTGGATCTTGCAGATGAATAGAAAAATGTGAACAAAGAAGCTSAAAATTTGAGGGCAGACCAAACTGGAGCTCACAAGATCTTTACAAAGAGAGCTATAAGAGGCAYCATAAGGGGGAAAAAACCCCGCTTTCTAATCTTGTAAAATTTGCTTCAACAATGCAATTTATGAGACCTGTCTACAAAGGGCACGTGGGATAGATTCCACTCTACAGCACTTCTTCAGAGCAAGGCAAAATTTGAAACAAAATCCAGATTACAGCCACCAAGAAATGAATATTTTCACAAATAGCTGGTAGCGGCTAACATCAATGTGAGTAACAAGCTGCCTTTGCCCATAAGGA